AAATATTTTTCTTCATAAATTTTTTGAATATAGCTGATAAATACTAATTTCCATAGATAATATTGTGGGTTTATCAATTTTGAGTAAAATAAATTTATGCATTAACTTGAGTTCGTATTATATGAATTAATTAAAAACCACATACAATTTACAAACAGTCAAATAAAAAGAAAAAATTCACTTAAACAAAGAGAGAGAGAGAGAGAGAGAGAGAGAGAGAGAGAGAGGTGAAAAAATAATCCTAGCTAATTACTGTGTTAATTTTTTTTCTGATTTTTTCTTGTACAAAATTTTGTCCTCTTAATTTGTATTGTTGCAAAAAATAAAAGAATTAAAAAAAAAACAAAAACAAAACTTAAAAAAAAAAAAAAAAATCCGACTAAAGGGCAAATGAATTATCCAAATCGAAATCACAGCTTCAATTAGTTGCACTCTGAATTACGGAATTCCTGAAAACTCCACGATTTTTTTTCCGAATTGACTGAAATACCCTCCCCTGTTCCCTCATGGCTGCGCAGCACACCCATCCTCCACGGCCACAGGAGGCCGCGGCGACTGCGACGCCATATCCGAACTCCAACCACAGCACTCTCCTCCGGCGGCCAAGGAATCTGCAATGGGTCTAATGACCAAAATGCCCTCCCCCACCGCTGCGCATACGAACATGGTCAGGAACACAATTAGCACTGCCCCGCTGAACGCCGTCTTCTCGGGTCTCCACAACACCGACAACCCCATGAACAGGACTTGCAACGGCACCGTGGCCATGACCGTGAAAGCCAGCGCGCGAATCCGCTCCCGGAGCGCCTTGTTGATCACGATGGACACGACCTTCCAAAATGATAATAAAAAGAACAGCAAGTAAACGGCGCTGAAAGCGCCGAATACAATCGTGCTCAATAATGGATACGCGCACACCACCATTTCATTTCCGTTACTGTCTTTAGAAATTGAAGAATTCCGAAGGAAGATCTCCGGGAGGTGAATCTCCATCTGTGAAAAGAAGACGAAGAATATTTGTAAAAGAAGGATTGGGAGGCAGGAGGTTAAGACGAAGGCGGTGGCATAACAACCATGCGGGGTTTTCTTCTTGATCGAGACATCCACGAGAAAAAGAAGGGTGACGAGGAACCCGGGTTCAAAGAAGCCGAGGGAGAGGACAAGTTGGATTTTGCAGAGATTGGCTTGTTGGGAAAGGGTGAGGGAAGATGAGAAAGGGTAGAGGTAGCGGCGGCGGAAGAAGGGAAAGCGGAGGTGCTCGTTCAAGACCCAGAAGGTGATGAAGGAGACAAGGAGGAAACGGACGGTCCAGAGGGAATTGAAACGTTGCAAATAGTGAGAGCGTCGGGATTTGATTTGGAGGTGGAAGATGAAAGTGAGGGAGAGGAGGGAGAGGAGGAGGAGTATGGCGATGGAGGAGATGGTGACGGAATCGAAAGCGGAATCCAGGAGTGGTTTGGGAAGAAGAATAAAGAACATGGCACGAGAGTGCTTATCAAAGGGAAAGAATGACGTGGTGATGGTGGTTATGGAGGTGGTAGTGGCGAAGGCGGCGGCAGGAAGAAGTCCAAGGCATAATTGGGGTGGTCGGAAGGGGGGAGAAGGAGAGAAGCAAAAGGTTTTTTCCCTCCCCTTTTCCCCACCGGCGGGAAAGAGGTAGGGAGAGAGAGAGGAAAGAGGAAAAAGCAGGGAGATGGTTGTAATGAGATGGGGAGCTTTGATTTCGGGGTAATGTTGCGGTTAAGGGGAGTTTTAAGTTTTAATTAGGTTGATGAAATTGGGAAATTAGTATATAGTAGTAATTGTAAAAAGGGGAAATTTGTTGGAATTTTATGGATTCAGGGAAAGGGGATGATGACTTGAATCCCCTGGACCTGAGAATGGAAATATTTAAGGTTATTTTAATTCTAGTAATTTGGTAATTTTTTTAAAAATAATTTTCCAAATCAGATTATGAGGCATCATTACAATGGTTATGATTTTTTGTTTTACTAGTTTTTACTTCTTAGTTCAAATTTAGTAGGTTTAATTTTTAATTTTGGATATTCAAATTTGTTATACTTTTTAAATTAGAAATGTTATTTAAAGATATTATTCCTATCTTACCTTATAATATATTTGATTGAAAGAAAATGGAAAGAAAGAGAAAGGAGGGAGGGATTTTTTGCTAAATTAAATTGAAATAATTAAAAAATATTATAATTTAAATAGTAAAAAACCTCACTCCTCATTTTGTTTAAATCAAACATATTATTAATTTTAAGAAATACTCTCTCTATTCAACTTAAATATATCTATATACTATTACTTGATTCTCTCGCGGCCGCTAAGGTTTCCTTCATCAGCGTGCAAGCCTCTCACCTAGGTGCTTTTCCCTGGTTTTTTCAAGGCCCTTCTTCCTCTACTTCTTATTTTTTTGTCTCGATTTCCCTATCCCCTTCTTGGATCTTGGTGCAGAGGAGAGATCGGGGTGCAGGAGGTGAGGGGACATGGAGAAGAGTAAGGTTGGTGCAGGGCGCGGGCACGGGGCGCAAGTGCGGGTGTGAGAGAGGGCGCGAACTTGGGGCATGGCAAGAGGCGCGGCAAGGGCAGAGGCGTGGTGCAGCAGGAGGATAGTCTAGGTGCAGCAGGAGGATAGTCTAGGTGCAGCAGGAGGCTCGTTTGGGTGGACCCTGTGTTTTTCCAGATCTAGAAGAGCTTTGTTTCCTGCACATGCTGAGCATCATATTCCTCTATGAAACAATGCGCTCCACTATTGCGATGCCTCTGTTTTGCTTAGATCTAGGGTATTCGAGTGGTAATCATTGGAGGCTGATTGGTTTTTTTGGTCGTAAGCCAAAGGAAAAGGATGAGGTTAGTGAAGTCGCTACGGGGGAGAATGCCACTTCAGTCTCAAAAGGGGCTCTAGTTCCCTTATTGAAATTTGGCAACAAGGGCTTGCAAAGGATTGAAATAGTTAGGGCATGGTTAGGAGCCCATGGCGACAAGGGAGGTGCCTGGCCCTCCTATTGATTGAAACTGTTTTAGGGACGACATATAGTGGGTTGGGGACTGTTGATGTCGAAATTTCCCTACTCTCCCCATGAAGCTGACTAAATAGGTGAGGACATCCAGTAGTTTCAAACACTCAAAACGACCTCCTTTTCTACTTTTGTAGCCCTATTTTTGCCCTTACAGCGATTGTAGCGACAATCTTTAGTCATAGATGGCCCTCTTCGCTTAATTGTCCATATATGTCATGGGCACAGTTTAAATCTGTTACTAATGTTGTAGGTTACACTTCTGTCCTTAATTTGACTATAATACACTGCTAAAGATTCATATGTAATCTCCTTATATTTAATATAATTCTCTATTTCTTATCAAAAAATATATATATCTATATACTAATTTGAGGTGTTTAAATTTAGTTATCCATTTTTTTTATTTTAAATTTCATTTAATGTACTTATTCTTATTTTATCATTTTTTAACAAAGATAATTACAACAAAAATTATAAGAAATTTTATCAATTAATTATTATATCTCTATTTTATTGGATAAAAAATTAAACATACTAAAATTGAATAAATGGAGTAATTACAACTCATAACTAATTAAATATGTTAGGATAGTTGTAATTTTTAAGATTTTAGTTTGGGTTTTTT